CAATCCCTGGCACCCCTCCTCCCCCCAAAAAGGGACAGTTGAGCATTCTCCATATACTAGATCCCTATAAATTCCACTGAGGTGGAAGATCCCAAAATTTTTATCAGATTTCTCACCCTATAGTATACAAATGTCTTATCAATACATGTAGAGTAGTTATTACTTCTTCTCATCAGGTTCAATCAGCTTAATACTCAATACAATGACATGGACCAATGTGATGTCTTGTAGAAGGGAAAGGTGATCACAACACAGACTAAACTGCAACATAGGATTGGAAAGTAGATGTCCTGCAGAGTGAAGGTGCATTGCTGGCCTTGCCAGTCCAAAAAAACTTGCCTCTGGTGGTCTGTACTAACAGGCATGGAGGAAAATCATTTACTAGAACAACTGTGGCATACCAGGTAGCACATCTGGAAACAGCATCAGCAACTAGTCACCACTTGATTAAGTTTATGACAATCCACTGTTCTCAAGATCGGCCTGTTTTTTATACAGGCCAGAGAGATGGCTTGAGCTAGGAAGTGGTGGGAATTCATAACAATACATCCCTTAAGGTCCTAATGTTAGCACTAATCTTTGCAGTCCCTTCAGAAATATGGTATTGCTTTTGGTTTACTTTAACAAGAATTTATCATCTCACATATCTGAAGGCTCTGAGATCCAGCTGTCAGTGGGGCCATGCTCCCTCTGAAGGTGCTGGGGAAGGATCTATTCCAGGTCTGTCTCCTAGCTTCAGGTCCTTTGCTGACTTTTGTATACCTGGCCTTGTGGCAGTATAATTCTAATCACTGTATCATGTTCTCCCTGGGTATGCAACTTTGTGTCCCGATTTCTTCCACTTTAAAATAACATACTCTTCTACTCCAGGACAGCCTCATGTTAATTTAACTAATTTAATTTGAATGACCTATTTCCAAGATCAAACAAATTCTGAGGTATGGTTATTAGGTGTTTTCTGTGTCCCTCCACTTCACCCTATTTCCTCACTCTAGTATCTTTAGCAGCCATCATCTCTGACTTAGATATTTCTCCCAATTGGAGCCCCCACAAGCCTTCTCTGTCCCTTTATTGTAATGTTCATATTACAGCCCCTATTGGTAGCCTGAGGCAGTTCTCCTACGTAGAGGCAGTTCTAGCAACTTTCACTTGGTATTTCCTGCCTTAACAGTCCTCACTCCACAGGTCAGGGAACTTGGGTAGGGATTCTGCCAGTGTCCAAGTATGTCTAGTCTAATTATGAATTCCAGACCTGGGAAATGCATTTGAGAAACTCATGTGAGATGTATCTGAGCTGAAATCCCATTGGTTACCTGACCTCCACAATTTCCTATTTTGGTGGACCAGTGAAGCATCAGGCCTCCTGGAATTAGTGTTAATTCAGAGACAGTGTCCAGCAATTTCCAAAATATCTGATTACTTCCCTTTCCTCAGTGTATATTCACCTTAGTGAATAGCCATAGGTCCCATGTGGAAAGATTGGGAAAAAGTTAAAGTATCGATTTTTGGTGGTACTGCAGGGTTCTCTCTCAAAGGGACCCAGCCTCATATTGGAGGAGTTCCGGGTCTATAAACTGGCTTAAAATGGGAAATAATTTAGAGGCCATAAATGTCTTAGTGATTTAAGTTAGACTTTTATTTGACCTAGAACTCTTCCACTTACACAAATCACATAAGAATATAGCGGGTAACCCAGCTATGGTGCCAAACTAGGTGCCCTTTAATAGATGAATGGATAAAGAGATACACACACCCACACACCCCCCACACACACAATGGAGTATTACTCAGCCATAAAGAATGACTTTACAACATTTTTCTGATAAACAGATGGAACTGGAGATTATCATGTCAAATGAAATAAGCCAATCCCCAGAAAAACCGAAGGTGGAATGTTTTCTTTGATATGTGAAAGCTAACAAACCATAAGGGCAGGGGATAGAAGTTCAGTGGATTTGACAAAGAGGAATAAAGGGGAGGGAGGAGAGAGGAAAAAATCTCTTATGTACATATATGAATACATCACAGTGAATCTCACCATTGGGAACATCCACAAAAAATTAAAAAAAAAAATACGATGGGTAAATGGCAAAAAGATCAATAGAAGGAAAGAAGAAGGCAGTGGGAAAAAGGAAAGGTACTAGGGTCAGAATTAGAATAAGATCTAGTATTATTACTTGCTGAGAGCCATAGCCAAGTAAGAATGACGCATGGCATTTTTGGTTGAAAGGTGACACCAGCAAGCCATTGAGATGATAATGATTATGTTAAGATGTGCATTCAATTGGAGATTAGACCCCTGCTGTCCGCCTTAGCCTGCTACTTTGGAGCTCTCTCGGACTCCCGTTGGTTGGGGAAGTGTGGTAGGAGGGAATTCCGGAGGAGGGATTTCCTGTTGGTGTAGTGTGTCCTGGGAGAAGGCCGCGTGCGTGGCATTCGCGGGAGTTTTGGAAATAAAGTTTGTTCCTGCTTGAGTGGCTCATGATTTTGTGTCCAGCCAGACTGCGGCAATTACTAGAGCACTTAGTTTGGCACTATAGCTTGGTTATCTGCTATACTTTTATGTGATTTGTGTAAGTGGAAGAGTTCTAGGTTGAATAGAAGTGTACATTTCTGATATAATAAGATCTATAATGCTTGTAGGTCAAAATGGATTCTTTTAAAAAATATTTATTTTTTTAGTTATAGGTAGACACAATATCTTTATTTTATTTTCATGAGGTGCTGAGGATCAAACCCAGCACCCTCACACATGCTAGGGGAGCCCTCTACCTCTGAGCCACAACCTCATCCCTGTTAAAATGGATTCTAACTAAAAAGAACAACAACAACAAAAAAAAACCCTATAGAAATCATTAACAGATGAGAAAAGGCACAATTTAGAATAAAATACTGGTTCCTAAAGCTTTGTACAATTGTTCGCATTCAAGATGTACAGTGGAAAAAGGCTTTTGGATTTATAAAAACATGGAAATTTGAGGAAATATTTTTTAATAAGTTCATGTAGTAGATACTGCCATTTAATTTCACTGTAAAGTTGATAACCCAATTAAAAGCAAATTTGTTAAAAATTTAAGTTAATATAATTGATGAACATAAAGAAATTTATAGGATTAAAAAAATTATTAGGAAGGCCTCTTTCAAAGAATATAAATAAAAATGTGAAGAACTATTTTTTTAAAAAGAATACAGCAGATTGCTAATCTTTTTTTTTTTTTTTTTTTTTTGATAAGGTACACCATGATCAACTAGCCAGTGCCATAGGTTCTGAGTCAGACAATTTGATTATGCTTTGGCTCGGCTGTTCACACAGTAATCACACCATGTTGTCTCTGGGCCTAAGAGTCAATATTTTGGCTTTGCTACCTGGGGGGTATACTGTACTTATTGATCTACAAGGCAACTGTCAGATATTCAGTTTCTCTAGGTATTCTCATTTACATTCACCAATGCCTCAGTTAAGTCTTTGATGATCCCACCCTGCTGAGAATAATTGTCCTGAGATCTTTATGGTAATCCCTCCAAAGACCTGAAGGAAGCTAACTTCAAGGGGCAGTTAGAAGAATATTAGATCTCTTCCCCTAAGGAGCTCTGAGTCATGAAAAAGACCTACACTTAAAATAGATCAACATACAATGTGCAGTAGTAAAAGTGTTTACAACCCATTATTGAAGAACAACAGGTAAACTAAAGCCAGTCTTAGAGGATAGGAGGCAGAATGGAAAAAGATCAAGGAGCGAGAAACTTCTTTGAAACTATAGGAACACCCTGAACTGGTTAAAATGCCAGCAACCTTATCCTATTTCAAAAAAAAAAAAAAAAAATTCTACTAAACTCTCATGTGAATAAAATTGCAAAGCTTGTCTTTAGTTCTCTTTCATCATTCCTTTCTCCTTTTGATGCACTCCCAAACAGGTACATCAAGATCCCACTAAGGTGTCTCAGTGTCCCTTGGCAGCTACCCTTATTTGGGGATTGATGAGACTTGGTTGTACTGTCTTCTATACTCTGGGAGTCTTAGATTTGGGGAGGTGATTCTCAGAATCGTTTCCACAAATGATAAGGAAGTGTATATACATACAACAGATGGAAGAGGAACACTGAGGTCTCTCTCTTTTCCTACCTTCCCTTTAGGCATCCTCTCAAAGAATCTGAAAGGACACCCCCAGGAGTCCCCAGCAGTTGGAAAGCCATCAGTTAATCCAATCCCTTTATACCCTTTATATTCACTTTTTATTTTCTTAAGATCCCACTGACCTCTAATAATATGTTCAAAAACAGATAGCATTTTAAGAATATCTAATGTAATATTCAGACCATTATCACAGGTCCAATCCATACCAGCTTTTGATTAACATTTTTTTTTTTACATTATTCCACAAGTAAAACATACTTAATGTAAGATTATCAACTCCTATAGCAAATAATAAACTAAAACCCCAATAATAATAAGCCAACAGAGAAAAAAGGTAATACACTGAATTCTCTTTTTTCCATATTATTCTACTAAGGAGATATGAGGTAAGGATACCTCAAGAAAATGGGGTAAGGCTGCCCCCATGTTTCCTTTGAAAGAAATTAAAATTCCTAATAAGCTTTACAGATGAAGAAAGGGTAGTTCTACTTAAATACCTTTGGTAACTTCCCTTTAGGTCACACTTCTCAATGAGGACTGGTTGGTTGGTTTTAAATTGGTTCCTAAAATTAAACAGTGAAACACTCAGGGTACAAAGTTTAATTAAAGAGTAATCTCTGATGGGTTGGGAAGCTTGGAGATTATATTCTTTTAAGAATTACTTTTTTTAGCAAGAGACTTCCATATTATTTCTAACTTACTTTTTGAAAACATTTACTAAATGACTAGTACCTAAGGTTTGACTAACATGAACTTCTTGTGTAGGGAGACAACTTCTGCACAAACTCTATTCCTCTGGGAAAAAGGGTAAAAAAAGGTCATGCCAATTTGTACCAAGGCCAGTAGAAAGAATGAGAACAATACCTCTTGTTTGTTTTTATTTATTATATCATATTAAGGTAAGACTGAAACAGACTATTAACAATATTTGAGATTCCACAGAGAAGTGCATGCTTTTGCTATTAGAAGACCTTTCTTGAAGTATCTGAACTTTACCTCTTGGGAACGGAAGAAATACAAAAACTTCAAGCATTTTTGTCAGCACATAATCATTCACAACAACCTTCTAAGATCCTTATTTTCCACCCTTTCCTATAAAAAGATAATTCTCATTTACCATAAGTCCATTACCACTGAAGGATTCAATGCTTTAGAGCTTAAAAATGATCAAAACCCACAAATTAGCATTATCAGTAGTCCAAAACTTGATTTAAATATTTGAAAGACAGAGAACACCAAATAAAGTACAGAATATTATTATTTCTATGAAGTAATGACTCACTGACTAAAACCACCTGAGACTGAAAATTTCTATAATCAGTTTCTACTGGTTTAATGCCTTCATTATTAATGCTCCTTATAGTATTACAGGTTTTATAAATAAACAACACATTTTCAGCATTCCTTAGCAATCACTTGCAAAAACTGCAATATACACCTGCTTATTATACTAACATACAATACATAAGCATTTTGTCATACTATCATCTCTTAACAGAATACAAAAAGCTATACGGGACAGAACACCACAGAAATTTTGAACATCCCCTTTCCCCAGATGTTAGCAGTAGTTTTTTTTTTTTTTTTTTTTTTTTTTTTTTTTTTTAAGAGGATGAAAAATCAGAAATTTTGCATCCAGTGTTTGACTTCAATCTTCTACCTTATCGTCTTCTGGTACCACCATATCCTAGAATGAGAAGAGTAAAATTTTGATTAGTTAAAAAAAATATATATTAAAATTGCTTACAAAATTATAAGAGTAATACATGTTTATTGTTAGCCGATGAATAAGAGAGACATGAAGGAAGGAATGAAAGAGTTGCCTAGTGGAATAGGACCATGAAGGATAGTGTGGCATTTCCCACAGCCCCTCTCCCCATTTTCAAGCCTAATGAATTCACACACGCTTGCTGAGAATAACTTTTGGTTAGAAAACCAAAGAAGATGCATTCTGTGGCAGGTCAACATAGGACAGTTAACACTCAAAGTCTAAGCCAAAAAGGCAGAGAGGTCAACAATGCATGAGCCATGCTCTGGTATCCCTTATAACTCCAAGTTCAGTGATAAGTAGAAGAAATGGGCGGGGCATAATTTCAAAGTTCAGTTTTACTTAGACATCTGCTTCCCTACTACACCCTTACCTACCATACTAACAGGCTACAATTGACAAGTTTTCCCATTGTGTCCAGATGGGAAAGTCTCTTAATTTTTTTTCAGGTTGTTCGGTAATATTTCATGATTTTCTTCATATTAGTATGTCCCATGTATGTCTAGTGAATAGCTATGATTTTTTTCCCCAGTTTTGTTTCCCATGAGAATGAGCCTTCTTCTATCATGATGTCTATTCTAGCCATATTTTTATATTTTTTCCCAATCACTAACCCACTTTTTCTCACCAAAAGTAATCGCAATTTTTTTTTTCTTTAATAAAAACTGGGTGTCATTATGTTGCCAAGGCTGGCCTTGAACTCCTTGGCCCAAGTAATCCTCCTACTTCAGCCTCCCAAGTAGATGGGATTACAGTCATGTGCCACTGTGCCTGCCTAGAAATTACCACCTTAACATCTAACACTACAAGTTGGTTTTGTTTTGAACATGTACAGATATTATAATCATACTGCATATATTCTTTTATGTCTGGATTCTTTATCCTTGGTAGATCTATCCACATTATTGCATACCACTGCTTACTTGTTTGTCACGACCCCTCGCCGGCAAGGGAAAACACGACACAGGATTCTTCTTTCAGCAGTTTATTCAGGCCTTGATTCAAGTATCATCTTCTAGTGACCCCCCCACCCCCAGTCGAGCGCCCAAGCACAGCCTAATAAAGCCTCCTGCATAGCAATCCCAAGCTGCCACGTGGATCTCTCTCATAGGGTGGTAAGGGATTGCATGCCAACTCTCCAAAAAAGGAGTTGTTTATCACAGGCCACAGTGGAAGCCGGCGCCATCTTCTAATGGCGGCCACGGTCTATAAGAATGGCTTACCACACTTGTTTTCACTGTTTCTCAATATTCCAAGGAATAAATACCTCAATTTATCCACCCATTTTACTGCTAACAGATAAATGGGTTGCTTCCAGTTGGAGGCTATTATGAATAGGAACGCTATGAACATTCTAGTGTTTATCTGTCAGTGTACAAGTATATGCATTTCTGTTGCTAAATACAGGTTGTTTTTTTTTTTTTTTTTTTTTGGCCCTCCCTGTCTGTGGGTTCCACATTTTCATATTGAAAATACTTTTTAAAAAGAATTTGGGATGTAACTCAGACCTAACATGTGCAAGGCTCTGGATTCAATCCCTGCTGACACGCAAAAATGTATTTTTTGGAAAAAGAATTATATTTGTATTAAAGATATATAGACTTTATTCCTGTTATTATTCCCTAAAAAATAAAATACAACAACTATTGACATAGCATTTACATTATACTAGGTATTATAAGTTATCTAGATATAATTTAGATTATTTGAGAGGATACCTTTATGTTACATACAAATACTACATCAGCTTTATATAAGGGACTGGACCAGGCTAGGGATGTGGCTCAATGGTAGTTAGCTTGCCTAGTGTGTGCCTGTTTTCAATCCATAGCACCTACAGATTTTGATATCACTGGGGGAGGGAGGTCCTGGAACCATCCCTTACAATATGGAAGCACAACCATATCTGAGAGTGAAACTGCTAGGTCCTAGGTATGCTTAGGTTCAACTATAGTAGGTAACACCTCTTTTCAAAGTGACTGTATCAATTTATATTCAAACCAGCACTATAAGAATTTCATTCTCAAATTTTAAAAAATGCTTAAATATATATTTCCTATCAATTTCAAGAATTAATAATTGTTCAACAGCTGAGGAATCTGTAGAAAAAGACAAATCTAATCCACAGCAATTGACAACTGCCTCATTATCCACCACCTCTCATGTTCCGCTGACTAGTTGGATGTTTAATTCCAAATAGTTACTACTTGGTTTTTGCTTTTTACAAAATATACTTTCTACCCTTTGAAGTAAACATATCATATTGTGGGAGACCAACCTCACACATGACTGAGTTAACTCCCTTGCCGGGTGATGTGGCATCAGGCACCCATGCTGCTAGACTGCCACTCTTCTAGGGTTCCAGTGACTGTGTCTTCCTACAGCCCCATAGGTGGAGCTATGCTCACCTGTTCCTTTGTAATATTACCCCTTGCCCTGTTTAGGATAGAATGTTCCATGGAAGTGCCTTTGTGTGTTCCTTGTCTCATTGTGCCTTTGGGTGTGGCCTACCCAGATGTCAATCTGCTGACAGTGGACATCATGAAGACAGACTCAGCCCCCTGAAACCTGACCCCTTGCCTCATTTGAATAGCTTCTCCTCAATAAAAGGGGTCAGTGCGTGCTTTCTCTTTCTGCAGACCCTTAAGGTCAGAGGAGCCATCACAGGGACCCCAAAGAAAAGATACTTATATAGTTATTTTAACTTGTAGAGTTATTTTGCGCAGCCCAGTTAGCCCAGTTCAACTGGAGTAACCCCTGAGCTTTTTAATCGCAAGAACGGAAACCCAGCATCATATTATGGACAATTATCAAAAGTATGACTCAATATGTTTTTTGAAGCTGAGCACTGTGGTGCACATCTGTTATCTTAGCACCCAGGAGGTTTAAGGCAGGAAGATGGCCCAAGCTCAGGAGTTTGAAACCAGCCCAAGCAAGAATACATAGCATAAATCTCTGTCAATTATGTTATTAATGTTTTTGGTGGGTATACCACATAATATCATGATTGCTAAATATAGTCATCATCTTAAGTCCCTAAACTACTACTATACTTTCCTGCTACATGATAGGAACATCTATATTTCTGCTCTTACCCGTTGCCGTTCTGGTTTTCGTTTCTGAGTTTGAACATGCTGAGTAGCTCCCTGGGCCTCCATGAAGTGGTGAGTAAGCACGACTATTCCAGGTGCTAGAGTACGGAGGGTAAGATGGGTAGTACCATGAGTTTGAAAAGGGTGTTGCTGCTCTTTAAAGACATAAAAATAGGTTAGGCATCCTTCTTGGAACTACAATTTTTAATAACCTTCCTGTTCCTAAATCATCAGAAGAAAATATTTCTATCAAATGATTTTTCCTGAATGTTCTGGCACATGAGGGTTAACATGAAATAAATCACTTTATATTTCTGTCATTGTTATGGTCATTGCCATGAAGAAACAAAAAAGAAATAAATGTTCTTTCTTTCTTAATTTATACTCAGGTAAAATCTAAACTTAAAACTACCATTAATAAAGCACTGCAGAATCTAGCCCCTGGCTTTTTCAGCCTTGAGTCTCCTTCTCCTACCTAAGCAGTCTGCTCCTTCCCCAAATATTGTGCTCTTTTCTGCCTTCTCATTTACTCAGATGTCAAGAAACAGTCTTTTCTATCTTGTGATATATATAAAGATAACATGAAAAAAACAATGAAGGAAAATAACATACAATATTGATCAAAACATATATAGTAAACTTCACCAAAGAATCTGATTTAATAGGGTCATATCACCATAATTTATTTTCCTTAACAGAGCCTAATGCAGTCAAATTAAAAGCAAATCAAAGAAGCCTCAAAGGAAAAGTTAAACTAAAGGAAAATGAGATCAAAGCAATACCTACCTATTGCTGCCAAACAAATATCCTAATATTCCTCCAGTTCCCAGGCCAGTCCAGAATCCTGGTCCTGAATTTTCATATCCTTGTGGTCCTGCAAAAGCATTCCCCAAATCAGAAGCTGTATCATGGCCAGTATTGTGTGGTCCTTAAAATAAGAACAATTTACTAAATTCTGTATCGTCACTTAAATGTAACATAGCCTAAAAAAACTAACATGACATTTCAAGTATTCCATCTGTACTGTACTACTATACTTAGGCCTCAATTTAGAAACAAGTTGTATTCAAAAAGGCTATTTGTAAAAATATTGCTTTATAACCAAGGAACACATTTTCAATAGACAAGAGAAAGAGGATTGGGGTGCGGTGATGCACACCTGTAATCACAGTGGCTCAGGAGGCTGAGACAGGAGGATCGAGTTCAAAGCCAGCCTCAGCAATGGTGAGGCATTAAGCAACTCAGTAAGACTCTGTCTCTACAAAACAGGGCTAGGAATGTGGCTCAGTGGCCGAGTGCCTCCGAGTTCAATCTCTAGTACCCCCTCACCCCACAAAAAGAAGAGAGTAAGAGGGATGTATTTGGGGGCTTAAAGGAGGGTCTTCTTGTAGAATTACGTCTGCCTGGCTCCAGATAAGTTACTAGAAGATGATCCCATTTTTCTAAGTTATTTCCCTTCTGTACTGAGAATGTCTCTTAAGAGGTCCAGGTGAGAGACACATCTGAGTCTGTAATGTAGGAAACCAGCTAGTTATTTATTTGTACCAGTTGGGAAGTAAGATCTTTAAGAGGTCAAAAAAGTATCTTCTGCTCAGACAAAGCTTTTTAAAAATCAGCGTATAATAAACATATAGGAAAGCATGCTAATCTTCTGTGTACATATGGCACAATAAATTGTACATATGTATACATCCACATAACCACCCTCAATAAACCAATTCTGACACCCTACAAGGCTCTTTGACAATTCCCAATAGATACCATCTATATCTGACTTCTGCACCATGTTTTAATTTTATCTATTCCTGAACTTTTTCAAACGGGATCTCATAAGGATGTATAATATTTGCTTGTGTTTGACATATAATTATGTTTATAAGAGTCAACCCTACTGATGCATAGATCAGTAATTTTTTATCTCATACAGTATGACCCTGTGTGAAAAACTCAGTCTACTCCACTCTAATTTCTATTTCCTGGTTTTAGCTGTTGTGAATAAAAATGCTATCAACATTCTTGTGCATTTGTTTGTGTACATATGCCTTCACTTTTCTTAATGAAGTTAATGAGGAATAGAAATTATGGTAATTGGATAGGTATATGTTTAGTTTTAGTAGATACTGACAGATTTCCAAACTGTTTTACCATTCTGACTCCTAAAAACAAAAGTTTGAAAGTTTCATCCCATAGTGGTGACATGCACCTACTTGGGAGGCTGAGGCAGGAAGATCACAAGTTCAAAGCCATTCTGGATAATACCTTCCAAGTAGCTGAGATTATAGATGTATACCACTGAGCCTGTCTGCAACTTTAGCAAGACTGTGTCACAAAATAAAGTTTTAAAAGGATGAGGATGTAGTTCACTGGTAGAACACTTGCCTAGCATGCTCCAGGCCCTGGCTCAGTACTAAAAATGACAGGAAAGGAGAAAAAAAAAGGATGAAAGGTCCAGTCACTCTCTCTCTTTACCAATTCTTAGTACTCCTTTTAAGACTTGCCATTATGGCAGTTAATTGGTAGTTAAAAATCATCTCACTGTGGTTTTATCATGCATTTCCCTATAGACTAATCACACTGAGCATATGCATGTTATATTGGCCATTTGAAATATCCTCTTTTATTAAACAGTAGTTTAAGTCCTCTGTCAATTTTGAAAATGGGGTTGTTTTTTCCCAGATTTGTGGAAGTTCTTCAAATATAAGTATTTTTATTTTTTTGTAGTTGTAGATGGACAGCATGCCTTTATTTGTTTCATTTTTATGTTATGCTAAGGATCAAACCCAGTGCCTCACACAAGCTAGGCAAGCACTCTGCCATTGAGATACCACCTTAACCTGAAGAGATATAAATTTAATAGGGATGAAGCCTCTAGTGGACAAGTTCCTAAAAGATGGAATCAGTTGGCTTTGCCAAATACCCTGCAAGACCCCACCCTGCCTGTTCACATAAGAAATTTAAAAATAAAACTCATGAATTCTAATTTTGGCAAGATCTGAGATCTAAAAATAACATTGTTTCAGATATTCATCCTATAGTAACTAATCCATACACCTTACTAATGGCAATGCCAGGTTAACTATGGCTAGTTCAAAGTACCAAATTTAAGAGATGAGTTCTTTTCCATACCTCTGATAAGGATTTCATTCATATATTGTAGACATAAGTCTTTTGTTGGAAATGTTTTACAAACACTCTCTCTCCCCATGTGTGGCTTGCTGCCTTTTTACTCTCTTCATAGTGGTTTTTTTTTTTTTTTTTTTGGGGGGGGGGTGCGGGGTGTACCAGGGATTGAACTCAGGTGCACTCAAACACTGAGCCACATCCCCAGCAATTTTTGTATTTTATTAGAGACAGGGTCTCATTGAGTTGCTTAGTGCCTCACCATTGCTGAAGCTTGCTCTGAACTCTCAATCCTCCTGTCTCAGCCTCCTGAGCTGCTGAGATTACAGGCGTGTGCAACCATACCTGGCTCACAGTGTTTTTTAATGAACCAGTGTTCTCAATTTAAATAAGACTTATTCATCCATCTTTACTTTTATGGCTAGTACTTTTTGTGTTCTGTTTAAGAATTCTTTGCCTATCCTAACATCATGGAAAAATTCTTCTGTTTTATTCTGGTAACTTATTTTACCTTTTATGTTGAGATCTATAATACTTATGAATTTATTTTTTTGTGTATATTATGAGATAGGAGTCATTGTAAATGTCCATTGTCAAAGCTGATTAAATTTAACCAGGCATCCTTAAAATAATATTCACAATATAATCTTATAGAGAAATAGAACAGAGGCAGTTAAAGCAGTTGAAAGTGAAAAAATGAGAAGACAAATCTACTTTGCTTTCCCAATGTGACCATTTTCTGTTTCAGTAACAAGCAAAGGATTCACTACTTCAGATCCCCTCTATTTACTGCCCTCAGAGAGGGAAACATACCTGTGAACTCTGACTTAAAGCCTGGGGGAGAGGGTCCTGCTGAGTTGGTGAACCGCTGGTAATGCTGGGAATATGGAGGATACTCAGAATATGGTGGTGGAGAATACTGACCATCACTAAGGAACAACTTATAAATTACAAAGGCAATAGTAAGCAGCACGGCAATGGTAACCAATCCACCAACGCCACAGGAATCTGCAGAGTACAACTTATAATAATAATCAGAGAAAGAGAAGCCAGGGTGTTTTCCAGACTCTTTCAATTTTTGCAGACCAATTTCTGTATAATCTAAGTGATACTCCAAGCCACAGGAACCTCTTAGTACATACTGGTCTTCAGAGGACTCATAGCCCTCACAGCTCACCACAGTTTTTCCAAATTTGTATGCAACATCTAAATCAGTTTTACATTCCCACTGTGAAAAGAAAACAGAAATAAGTTACTAGCACCAAAAGATTCCTTTTCATTTAATATATACTATTTGGCCTATACTAATGTATCATAAAATCTACAAAATGAAGCAAAGGAATAACCAACAAAAGAAATTCAGGACAATTTCTTTGGTGGAGAAAAACCAAACTGGGCGCTTCAAAAAGATATTAGTGCTCTACCTCTTAAGCTGGGTAGTGGGCATATAAGTGTTCTACCTTACCATCATTGTTTATGTTTTTCATAGTACTGGGGACTGAAACCCAGGACCTCACCCATGCTAGGCAAGCATTCTATCACACCCTAGTCCCAATCTTTATTCCTTTCATGTAAGTTATATAATCATTTCTATTAAATACTATAATTTAGGGCTGGGGTTGTAGCTCAGCAGTAGAACACTCGCCTAGGAACACTCCCAGCAACACATAAAAATAAATAAATAAAATAAAGACAATATTTTTTTAAATGCCATAAATAAATAAATGCTATAATTTATAAAATTCAAACAAATTTCAAAATGTTAACTTTTGCCATTGTTGTTTAAGATACTTTTTTTTTAAACAGAGATTTTAAAGATATTAAGGCTCAAAACTCAGCATCATATATGAAGATCTGATAGCCACATATAGCATTTGGATATGTTTTACTACTTTCTGAGAAACAAAACTTTCTACACAAATTTTATAAAATCAAGGACTAACTTTTCCAGGGTCCAATCCTATGTAATTCTGATAGGTTAAAAAAAAAAAAAAAAATATATATATATATATATATATATATATATATATATATATACACACACACACACACACACACATACACACACACACACACACACACATGGAAAAATGCAAAAACCATCCAAGTTAGCCTCAAAAATTTCCACCTTAAAAATATAAGCTTCAGTTTAAATTTCTATATTTTGTGCTACATAGATAACACATTTCTTTAACAATATTTAAAGATACAAGCTAAAGTAGATTAATCAGTTCTATTGCCTTTGCTAAATTTTGTACAAGTTATATTTCTCTCTCAAAGTTCAGAAACACTATTTTATTTTTTTAATAACAGCTTGATTTGGGGCTGGGGTTGTGGCACAGAGGAAAAGTGCTCCCCTAGCATGCGTGACTTGAGGCTCTGGGTTCAATCCTCAGCACCAAAAAACTAAATAAAGGTATTGTGTCCACCTACAACTAAAGAATAAATGTTTTTTTTTTTTTAAACAGCTTTAGAAACAATTTACCTACCATCCAATTCACACATTTCACTGGTTTTAAGTATATTCACATAGTTAAACAATTATAACCAAAACTAACTTTAAAGTATTTTCATCATCCTCAAAGAAATCTCAAACCCATTAGTAACACTGCCCATTTTCCCTCAAACCTTTCTACCCTATTACCAACACTTTTTGTGTTTATATTGATTTCTTTACTGAGGACATTTCATATAAATGGAATCATACTATGTGGGTCGTTGTGACTGGCTTCTTTCACTTAGTATTAACATTTTTAAAGTTCATTCATTTTGAGCATGTATTAGTACTTGCTAAAAATTCTGAAAAATAGTCCTCTGTATGGATATACCACATCATATTAGTGATGAAAGCATCAAAAATGGACATTTGGATTATTTCTAGACTTTTTAGTTATTTAACTGACATTGCTGTAAACATTTATGTAAAGCTTTTATGGGGAAATATCTTTTTTTAATATTTATTTTTTAGTTGTAGGTGGATACAATACCTTTATTTCAGTTTTATGTGGTGCTGAGGATTGAACCCAGGACCTCACATGTGCTAGGCACTCTACTACTGAGCTACAACCCCAGCCTGGGAAATATGTTTTCAATTCTCTTGAATATATACATAGAAAGAGAATGACTAGGGCATGTGATAATTCTACTTTAAGAAAATTCCAGATAGTTTTTCAAAGCAGGTGCACTGTTTTACATGCCCAAGAGCAATGTATGAGGGTCTTCTCACCAACACTTGTATCGGTCTTTTTCATTCTAGCCTTCACACTTCTTATTGAATATGAAGTGGTATCTTTTTTTTTTCCCTCCCATGGTACTGGGGATTGAACCCAGGGCCTTGTGCATGCAAGGCAAGCACTCTACCAACTGAGCCACATCCCCAGTCCCAAGTGGTATCTTATTGCAGTTTTGATCAGCATTTCTCTAATGGCTTTTGATGGTAGACATTTTTCATGTGTTTATTGGTCATTTGCATATATCCTTTAAAGAAATATTGTCATCTTGTATTGTGAGAGTTCTTCATATATGCTAGATACAAGTCTCTCATCAGATATGATTTGCAAAGCTTCCTCCCATTCTGCAGGCTGTCTTTTTCACTTTTCTTGATGGTTTCTTTGAAGCCCAGAAGTTTTTAATTTGGATACTATTCAGTTTTTCTTTTTGTTACTATTTTTACTACCCTATTTTATTTTTGAATAATTTTATTTGGAGAAAGATCTATATGTTTTCTGACGTAAGTTAATAAAAAAGCAAAATCTATTTTGGTATTTCATATTAACTGCCATTTCCTTAAAGGTATGTACTTTCTACATTTTGAAAGTAACTTTTAAATACTATATTTAAATTTAAGCTCCTGCTGCTAAACACAAGCTAACGTATGATGTGTTCCATGTTTCTTTGCTGGTGCTATTCCTTTCTCTCTCTCTCCATCTCTAAAAATTTTATTTCCTAACAGCATATATACTCCCCCCACTAAGTTTTCCTCAAAGACTGCAGCCAGACACAACTTCACTCTGTTGGTATGTGTATATAATTTAGTATATTATCTTTTCTACTAGAAAGAGAATTTCTTTATTCTATCTTACTCATTTTATATACAACACATTTAATACATAAAAGTAATTTAGAAGTGTAATGCCTGCTTTAATCTGAACATTCCATGATATGATGTATCAATACTGGAAAAATATGTTGTGAAATAAATATCACCCAGCAAACATGAACTTTCTTCCTGAATTCATTAGCCATGTATAAGGCTTTATCAAATAAGAATATTATTGTATTGGAAGGGGAAATCAACACAAGATTCTTATCTAGAAACTAGTCATGTTAATCCTTTTTGTAAACATGCAGAAAACAAAATAGAAATATATAAGTAGTGATTTAAAGTGAATTCATTTAATAAAATCTATTCCATCTTTAAAACATACTAAGTTTTAGAACTTAGCTCTACCCTGTGTACAAAATACCAACATCCCAAAGGCAATAACTAAACAAACCTCCTAATGCTTCTGTTCACAAGAAACTATCCTCGGTTCTAAAGCAGTTTTAAAATAAGTATTTGAAGCCAGTGGTGGTGGCGCACACATGTAATCCCAGCAGCACAGAAGGCTGAGATGGGAGGACTGAGTTCAAAGGCAGCCTCAGTAAAAAGTGAGGTGCTAAACTCAATGAGACCCTGCCTCTAAATAAAATATAAAAAATAGGACAGGGGATGTGGCTCAGTGGTAGAGTGTCCCTTGAGTTCAATCCCCAGTACCTCCCAAAATAAATAAATGTTTGAAGAACAACAAGGACACATGTACCCTACCTAGTATTTTAAATTTACTACTCCTGATCACCTTAATTTTATTTCTTAAGGGTAGGTTCATAATCTTTGAGAAATGACAGGAAAATGACAACCAGAAGTATACATGAAGTAAAATGTTAGAAGGAAGTCACTTACAAAAATTACAGTGAACATTATTTCCAAGCTTTAAAATCAGTTCATTTTTTGAAGAATGTTTGTTCCAGAGGAATAATAAATGATTTATTTATATATTTTACAATGACCTGAAATTTTCCATACGTGCTTCCTCAAAATATTAATATCCCAATAAACAGTTCATTGAATAAAAATTTCATTTTAACTGCCATTGATTTTGCGGCTATTACCTGTACATCATAACCATCCCAGCCTTTGTTCTGACACTGTATGACTTTTGGGGTATAAGAATCACAACCAGCTGTGCCTCCAACACATTTCAACTGTGGGATTGGATCCAGTCTACGGGAGGTGGTATAGCGGTCATAGTGGAGGGTAAGAGCTTTTACATCTCGCAACAACATTCTGTCTGAAATAATAAGAACACAGATGAACACAGAATAAATATCTTGTCAACCATAGAAATTGAGTCATCCTAATGAAACTTCTGCCATAGGGAACTGTTCCAAAGTAAAAGTGCCTTTTGAGAATGACTAAAGAGAGGATGAAGCAGTTTTTTTTTTTTTTTCAATATATTGTTTAGTTGTCAATGGACCTTTATTTTATTTATTTATATGCAGTGCTGAGAATCAAACCCAGTGCCTCACACATGCTAAGCAAGTGCCCTACCAATGAGCCATAGCTCCAGCCTCATGAAGCAGTTTCTTAAAGCCATCCTAATAACATTCAGGCCTTACACTCAAAATTCAAGGTAGCCACATCTTTCAGATCTCCCTTCAAACCAGAAAGATACTTATGTAAGTTTTACCAAACTTTTGCTAACTCATAAGAACATCTTAGGAAGTGGGTTCCTGAAAGAAACAGGGTTTTAGAAAGAAAGAACACAGAAATAAGTGTGACAAACTCAGGGATATAACTCAAGAAGAGATCTCACTCTGAAGGATATAAGATGTCACACTCAAAGAAACCAATAAATACCTAGGCCTGAAAATAAAGGACATAGAGGCATGCAAACAGTAAATTGTAGAATAATAAAGACCTAAAAATTACCAAAAGTGAGAAAAACAAGACACACACACACACACACATCAAAAGCTTCAGATAGTATCCCAACAGGATTGACAAAGAAAATGGAGAACTGTTTCCTTTTCAAAATTATAAAGGAAAGAGTTTGGTTGAGTATAAAATTTTAGGTTGTCATAGAAGCCAATAAATAGAATACGGTTTCAGGCTTCTGAAAAGTTTCAAAATATTACCTTACTGATATATTCATTTTCAGTAAAATACTTAAAAATTATTCATCAGCAAATGAAATGAAGAAAAAGACATGAAAACCAGAGGAGTAAAGAAAAAATAACAGTATACAAAAAGACAAAAGAAATTCCCAGAAGAATGATGAATGAAGATCCCAGATGACAGCCATATATCAGTCAGAGACCACACTGAAAGAGCACTGCTCAAAAGAAAGACACAAGAGCCACCAGCATTAAGATGCCTGCTGCTAACATACCATCTCTTTGGTTCATCTGGACAGAATGTCCAGGGGAACCTGACTTTGAATTTTATCTGTTATTTGGCTTGTCTCAATCTTCAGATGATGAAATTCCTCTTCTTTCTTCCAGTACCTGGGATAAGCTGAGGACATAAATGTCATCAAAGAGAAAGCAGCATTCTAGGTTTATCTATTGATGAATACTACAGACAGATCATGCTAAGCTTAGAAGTTAGAGCAATCTACTCCTCATCTGGCCATATTTCTACAAATGTTTACGACCTGATCCAGCAGCGCCCTACGCATAGTTAGGTGACCTAACTATAGCGAGCACTATGTTACCCATGATTTTCCTCAATGACTTCCCCAGAAAGGACTCTTTAAGTCTCAAGAAATCTAAAACCAGAGACCTTCTTTATACTTCTAGGAAAAGAGATAGTCAGGTTTTCAAAACCTGTATAGCTTTACCACATGCCTGAAAAACTAGAGTGAGGAAATTATTCATTCAAATAATCATGGTAGTGGTTACCTTTGAGAAGATATGCTTAGAAAGGAGCATGCAAAATGCTTCTCTTCTTTCTCTTAACTGGATGGAGATACACTGATATTCATTTTATTATTATTTTTAAAACTATGTATATGTCTTTATGTATTCATCTATAATTATGCTTCACCAATTATTTAAATGTAAAATATCCTTTTTTTTTTTTTGGTACCAGGGGTGCTTAATCACTAGCCACATCCCCAGCCCTTTTATTTTTTATTTTGAGACACAGTCTTGCTAAGTTGCTGAAGCTGGCTTTGAATTTGCAATCCTCTTGCCTCAGCCTACTAAGCAAGCCACTGGGTTCACAGGTGTGCACCACTGCTCCCAGCTTGAATCTTGAATCCTACTCTTCCTCCAACATTTCTGTGATAACCAATATTAACAGCTTAATAAGTATCTTTCTTTATTCTTTTTATTCCTCACTCAAACAGATACAAATACAGGGACTATTTTGATTCTTGTCAGTTTATTTTTATAAAAACTGAATATGGAATGGATATCACTCTAAAAGTTTTTACTTAATCATATATCATGGACATTCTTTTATGTTAACAGATACAAATCTCACTTATATTTTACCTAAAATGAACTTATTGAATTCCACTAAGATTGATAGACCACATTCACCCATTAAGAGATTTATAGGCTAAGATTTATAGGCCACATTGTCTCACCAAAATATAATAAAACTAAGTTGGACATGTTAGAACATGACTGTAATCCTAGCAACATGGGAAGCTGAGGCAAGAGGACTGACTGCAAGTTCAAAGTCAGTCTTGGCAACTTAGCCAGATCTTGCCTCAAATATAAAAATCAAAAAGGGCTGGATGTGCCTCAGTGGTAGAGTCTCCTGGATTCAAAAGGAAGGAAGGAAGGTAGGGAAGGAGGGAGATGAAGGAAGGAAAGAAGGAAGAAGGACGAAAGGAGGATGGAAGGGAGGGAGGAAGGAAAACTACTAGCCAGGCACAGTGGTGCACACTTGGAATCCTAGCTCCTTGGGAGGCCGAGGTAGGAGGATTACCAAGTTTGAGGCCAGCCTGGACAACTCAGAAAGAACCTGCCTCAAAATTTAAAATATTGAAAAGGGTGAGGATGTAGGTTATTGGTAGACGTCTTGCCTAGCATACATGAAGTGTGACTTAATATATTAAGATGTTGGTATCAACCTTGAGATTTATTGGATTCAATTCCCAGCAGTACAAAAAAAAAATGTTTTTTAATCTCTCTCTTTCTCACCTCTTTTTATACACACACACTCACACACACACACACACAAACACACCTGCAAATACATATACACTTGAAACTAGAAAGAAAATCATATATTAAGTTATTTATATATATTAAGATAATATAAGGCTTCAAATAATTTAATTGGAAAATAAAAAATAGCCTTTCCATCAGATTGACATCAAAACAAATTTAGAATTGGGCTTGCAAATTCAAATGCCAGCCAAATGGTTAAAATACATGAAAGGTCTGACTAAAGTTGGTTGAATGAAATATGCAGGAAGTAGTAGGGCTGTAGTAAATGGAGAATTCAAATCCCGTCTAAAGGCATTCAGGTTTCAAAAATGTTAATTCAATTCAGTTCAACTAAATAAACCTATATGTATTAGGTTTTAATATGAAAAGGTTTTTTTTTTTTTTTTTTTTTTTTTTTTTTTTTTTTTAATTTTTTATTGTGGGTTGTTCAAAACATTACAAATTTCTTGACATATCATATTCCACACTTTGATTCTAGTGGGTTATGAACTCCCACCTTCACCCCATACACAGATTGCAGATTCACATCAGTTACACATCCATTGATTTACAAATTGCCATACTAGTGTCTGTTGTGCTCCGCTGCCTTTCCCATCATCCACCCTCCCCCCTCCCCACCTCTCCCCTCCCCTCCCCTCCTCTCTCTCTACCCCCTCCACTGTATAACCCTGAGGGTCTCCTTCCATTACCGTGCAATTTACCTTCTCTCTCCCTTTCCCTCCCACCTCTCATCCCTGTTAAATGTTAATCTTCTTCTCCTGTTCTTCGTCCCTACTCTGTTCTTAGTTACTTTCCTTATATCAAAGAAGACATTTGGCATTTGTTTTTTAGGGATTGGCTAGCTTCACTTAGCATAATCTGCTCTAATGCCATCCATTTCCCTGTAAATTCTATGATTTTGTCATTTTTTAATGCAGAGTAATACTCCATTGTGTATAAATGCCACATTTTTTTTATCCATTCGTCTATTGAAGGGCATCTAGGTTGGTTCCACAGTCTTGCTATTGTGAACTGTGCTGCTATGAACATCGATGTAGCAGTGTCCCTGTAGCATGCTCTTTTTAGGTCTTTAGGGAATAGACCAAGAAGGGGAATAGCTGGGTCAAATGGTGGCTCCATTCCCAGCTTTCCAAGAAATCTCCATACTGCTTTCCAAATTGGCTGCACATATCTGCAGTCCCACCAGCAATGTACAAGTGTACCCTTTTCCCCACATCCTCGCCAGCACTTGTTGTTGTTTGACTTCCTAATGGCTGCCAATCTTACTGGAGTGAGATGGTATCTTAGGGTGGTTTTGATTTGCATTTCTCTGACAGCTAGAGATGTTGAGCATTTTTTCATGTACTTGTTGATTGACTGTATGTCCTCCTCTGTGAAGTGTCTGTTCAGGTCCTTGGCCCATTTGTTGATTGGGTTGTTTGTTCTCTTATTGTCTAATTTTTTGAGTTCTTTGTATACTCTGGATATTAGGGCTCTATCTGAAGTGTGAGGAGTAAAGATTTGTTCCCAGGATGTAGGCTCCCTATTTACCTCTCTTATTGTTTCTATTTACTCTGTTTGAATTTACATCTGACAATTGTATTACAAAAAATGATTAATAACTACTGAATAAGAGTTTAAGGGCCTGCACAGAGAAAGTGAGCAAGTGTATGGGTTTTGCAGCATCTCCTTTGTCTCTATGTAGTAATGTTTTCTTCCTTAAGCTTCTAAGTTATGTTCTGAATAAATGACTCATGAATAAATATAAATAAGGTGTTAGTATATGGTAACCTAATAGTATTTACAGTAGTAAACTCAGGTGTTTGGCATCAACATTTAAAAAAGTGGCGAGGGTCCTGGGAATGTACCTCAGTGGTAGAGCACTTGCTTACCTAGCATGCAAGAAGTTCTGGGTTCAAACCCCAACCAAAAAAAAAGACATAGTTTTTACATACTTCAGAATGTATTAATAGTATCTCTAGTGATAAGAGAATTATTTCTTTTAGATCTAGTTAAACTCTAATTTTATAGGAAAAACAACAACAACACTGAGTCAGATAAATATTTAAATAACTAGTTAGTGGCTAGTAGGAAGTAAGAGCCAGTGCTCAAAACTCTTAGCTCTCTGCTGGTTCCACTCTGCTACATTCATTCTACAAATAACTTGTTATTGAGTGTTGAGCTGGGACCTGAGCATCAATAACAGAAAATGCTCTTTACTCTCAAAACTGATAGTTGAGAAGAAAAAAAATCCAATCAATATGAAGTGCATCTGTGATAAACTGAGAAACGAAAATCATACAATGCTAAGAGGGCCTCTGTGAATGTATGTCCCTTTACTAGAATGCTGCCCCAAGTACCACATGATTTGCTTCCTCATTTCATATGACACTGTGCTCACATGTCACCTCATCAAAGACACCCTTTCAGGCTCCTGTGTCTAGACTTATACTCTTCCTTTACTTTTTTTAAAAAAATTATTCTCCCTAGAATGTAAGCTGCATTAGATCAAGAGATTTGATATATATATATATATATATATATATATATATATATATATATTTATTTTTTTTTTTTTTTTTTGCTCTGTCTAGTAGCAAGGTCAATGTGTGACATACCTTAGGTGTTCAAAAAATAGTTTTTGAATGGATGGATGAAAATATAATAGGGGAAATTGGTCTAGCCATGAGATTTGGAAAAATTTTACTGAGGAAGAGATGATTGAGTTGAGATTTGAGGGAAAAATAGTAGTTGAGTCAGAGGAAAGAGGAAAGGAGGGGGAAAGTCTTTTCCAGCATAAAGTGGCCATGTACAATCACTGGCATATCTCCAACATCTGTTACATATTTGGCTTCAATAAATACTTCCTGAGTGAATGAGGAACTGAGGTAGAGGGGACATATGCAGAGGCCATGTGGTTGAGGAAACCTGCTGATTTCCAGGAAAGAAAAAAGGCCCATGAGACTGAAGTATGGAGAGCAAGGGGTAGTTGCCTGATGTGACACGCATCCAGGAGGTAGGCAGGACCAGATGATGAGGACCCATTTTGAACTAGAAAGACAAATGGTAAACTCAATATTTTCTTCACAGTTTATGTTGCTTTTCCTTGTAAACTTGAAATGGTTCATTTACTGTAAAATAAGCTGAAAAAAAAAATTTCTGTAGCTGAAAATATAATGGCATTAAGGACTAAGTAGATTGTTTAGGGTTGCCATGACCTACGTCAGTGAAACAACTGAAAACCAAGCTACCATGTCAATCGTCCTTGATTTTTGACCATTTTAGTTCTGAAATGTATATCAGTAGTATTTGGCAGCATTAACCCCCTTATTGTTAATTTTGGCTTGTGTATGTGAGCTTTTGTCTTAGTGGCTTTTAGACAGAAATTACTTTCTTAACTACTATGGCTGCAGAAACACAGGTTATGCAGAACTTGTTTTTTTAATATTTATTTTTTAGTTGTAGTTGGACACAATACCTTTATTTTATTTATTTATTATTACATGGTGCTGAGGATCAAACCCAGAGCCTTACACATGCTAGGTGAGCGCTCTACTTCTGAGCCACAAACCCAGCCCAGGTTATACAGAACTTAAAAAAAGATCATTTATTTCTTTGGCTAAACCTCGGTCATTGATTATACCTACTCAAGAAAGTTATTTTTACTTACTGACATGTAAAGCACTTTAAAATATACTGCTTTGTATAAGTGTGTGTCTTGAGAAATTATATTTCAGGGACTGGCATGGTTGTATATAACTAATTCCAGATGCTCTGGAATCTGAGGCAGGAGGATCACCAATTCAAGACTAGCCTCAGCAATTTAGCCAGATGGGTTTGTTTGGTTTAGTTTTGAAACAGTCTTCGTGTTGCCCAGGCTATCCAGGAACTCCTGGGCTCCAGCAATCCTCCTGACTCAAGACTCCAGAGTAGCTGGGATTATAGGTGTGCATCATTGCCCCCACCTCCGCAGTTTTATGTATGTTAGGGTATATGTGTAAGAAAAAGGAACTGATTCGCAGAGGTTTTCCCATAAGATTCCCTGAATCTTCTAAAATCCAGTAAATTTCAGAATGTAAAGTTTCTCTGTATATGGCTTTTCAAAATTATAATGATTTTTGGAGTAATGCCTGAAGGGACATTGATCTGGTTGACTATTATGATACTCATTAAGAAATGGAACCAACTAATTGGGGGGATGTGGTCTAGTGTTAGCAATCGGTCAGAGCTCTGAAAATCAATACAAGGTTGAGTGTCCTTTATTGGAAATGCTTGGGACCAGAGGAAGTGTTTTGGATTTTGAAATATTTGCATATACACAATGAAGTATATCTTGGGGATAAGAACCAAGCATAAACCCCAAATTCATTTATGTTTAATATAAATCTACATGCATAGCCTGAAGTGTATAAGACACACACTTAATCAAACACACACTTATAATTTTAAAAATTATTTTTAATTGCATGAAATAAAGTTTTATGGTATGGCATCATGTCATTGCTCTAAAAGTTACAGATTTTGGAGCATTTCAGATTTTAGTTTTCAAACTAGGAATGATGCTCAGTCTTTATCACTTGAAAATGCCACAGAAGACTTATTCTTAGATTACGTGACTTACACTCCTGGAGACAGTGTACTCTGAGTATATTTAGGTTTATCGGCAAGGTTGTTTTGTTTTAGTTCTGGGATTACAGGTAAAGTTCAAACTGCTAATATTAATATTAACAAAAATAATATTTACTGGCTTAAAGAATTGATATATATGTTGGACTTTTTATTTTCTTTATAGCTTTGATTAGTTTGTCGTTTGGAGGAGCAATTGGGCTGATGTTTTTGATGCTTGGATGTGCCCTTCCAATATACAAGTAGGTAAAATTTTTGTCTTTTTAAAAAGTGTGTGTTAAGGTAAAAGTGTGCTTTTAAAGCTTTAAAAATATTTTATTTCTGCTGTAAAATTAATGCAGAGAAATGTTCATTTACCAAACAAACCTTTTTAATAATCATCACTTTATTTGTAAATATTTTAGGACACCAAGATGCAAAAGCATTTTTGGCTATTATCTGCTCTCTGACTATTGTCAAGTCTGTAATGACAAGATAGCAACACATTAGTTCAGACCTACTCTTCGGTTTTAAACACATCGATTATATTAAATACAAGAAAATTAAAAACATCTGTTTATAGAAAATATCATAAGCAGAGTCAGAACACAGTTGACTAAAAAATATGATGTTGATAATTATTTTCATTAAGATAGAATGTTTTAAGAGTAATTTTTAAGAGCTAGGGTTAGATGTGTTCATGACAACATTGTCTATAAGAACAAAAAGGGAAAACTGATGATATCATAGATATCCTTCAAAAGAAAAATGGTTTAAGTTATAGTACATCCATTGGTGAAAATATGAGGAAGTTTTAGAGAATGAAGAATTATAAGTGCTGTTATTAAAGATATTCAAGATCTATCATTAAATAAATAAAAAATTGCAGTGACCCAGTCACCTTTTTAAAGTTTATGTGGGATTTTGGAAGGGTCCACAAAAAGCTCTTAAGGAGAAGGGGGGAAAAAAAACAGGGGAGGATCAAGAGACATATAGTTTATTTCACCTTGTGTCCTTTATTATTGTTTTGATGTTTTTTTCTTAAGCACATATTTTATTTGCAATTTTTTACTTAAATGTGTAGGAAAAGAAACATTAGAAAAACATCAGTAGATCTTTGCTGAGTGTAATCTTCTAAGTACATGCAAATCTCCATTATCATGTGTAGTTTGTAGCAGTTTTATTTATTTTTAACTTTTTCTTTTGAAATAATTTTGGACTGTTAAGAAATTGCAAAGACAGTGCAAACAGGTTCCTCTGCTTCCCCCAGTCATGACATTTTATATAACCACAGCTATCAAAACCAGGAAATGATATCAGCACAACACCACTAACTAAACAGTAGACTAAAAGCCATCAGCTTTTATTATGATATATTCTGTATCCTTATTGAAAGTGTTCAATATTACTTTTGATTAGTTTTCTATATTTCAATTCCAGTATTTTGGGGGAGTTCCTAGTGACCTAAGGAAAGCTTGGGAAGGGGTGTTTTCACTTCATATTAGTGCAGGATGTCAAAGACATGAATTGTGACTTTTAAAAGTTATTGTGTTGGGGCTGGGGCTGCAGCTCAGTGGCAAAGCGCTTGCCTAGCATGCATGAGGCACTGGCTTCAATTTTCAGCACCAAATAAAAATAAACAAATAAAATAAAGGCATTCTGTCCATCTACAACTATAAAATTTTTTTTAAAAGTTATTGTGTTAACATTCCTATTTTCCATATGCCTTTATAATGTAAAACGAAAAAAATTTGAGGCCTTCATTCCAACCATTAAAATTTATTAATGCATTTTCTTTTAATATTAGAAAAATTTAATATTTCATAGTTGATTTTATGGGTAATGTTATTCAAAATGTTTACCACTTCAGTGTTGAGCTTGTAGCTTTTTTCTCAACTATAATATGTATTATATCTTACAGTATTCCTTTGGTCCTTAAAAGGAGAAAAGCATATTTTTATGTGTAGGAAAACAACAGAAAGCAAAAACTACATTAACTTATTTTTCTCTTTCTAGCCAATACTGGCCCCTCTTTGTTCTGTTTTTTTACATCCTTTCACCTATTCCATACTGCATAGCAAGAAGATTGGTGGATGATACAGATGCTATGAGTAATGCTTGTAAGGAACTTGCCATATTTCTTACAACAGGCATTGTTGTCTCAGCTTTTGGACTCCCTATTGTATTTGCTCGAGCACATTTGGTAAGTGAATTTATTTTTCTATGGATGATTTTATGTTAGACTGTGTTCAATTTTTTTCTCAAATGCTTTTGTTACTGACACAAAAAAGAAATGAGAGATATAGAGGTTAAAATCTTAGGTCTTTGTTGGTCCTTGCTAACTAATAAAAATAAATTGAAGAACAGCATATGGCTTCCCAGTACCTATCAGGATCAGGCACATTAACTCACCCAGTGCTGAGTAGCCACAGGCCTGACTTATATAAGCCCAGAAAACAAGAAGATTGTGTGTTCTCTGCAAAGAGAAAGAGCTAGGCTACCTATACTAAGTCCAGACTCATCTACCCAAATTCACAGCTCTTATCTTTGTGACCACTAGCATATCTTATATCTACTCAGGTAGAGAAGGCAGCAGAGACTGACCAACCTTTAACATGGAGAAGACAGTTAATTACTCCCTCCACCCCTTTAAAAGAAAGTGCACATGTGGTTTTCATCTCTTAATACTTTAAATTTAAATTTATTCTCTAAATAGATTTTTTTTTTATTTACAGAAAGCTAATTTCTTCATAAGTTGAAAAGTATTGAATTCTATGCTGTCATCGTTGCTTGTTTTTTAAAATAATTATCAATCATAAATTTGCTTTTAAACAACCAAAGATAAAAATAACAACATAAAAATACCAATCAGTGTTAAATACTGTGTAAGTTATTACAAGCCATATTCGCTCTGAATCATGTTTGGCATACAGTTAGAATCTTCATTTGCTTTTCATTTCCCTTTTGTTTTTCATATGTCTGTTAACTGAGTGTTTATACCTTATTTCCACAGATTGAGTGGGGAGCTTGTGCACTTGTTCTTACAGGAAACACAGTCATCTTTGCAACTATACTAGGCTTCTTCTTGGTCTTTGGAAGCAATGATGACTTCAGCTGGCAGCAGTGGTGAAAAGGAGTTGCTGAACTATTGTCACATGGACTTCTTGTCATCTGTTGGCCATCCATGCACACAGGAGATGGGGCTGTAATGCTGAATGGTGTAGCAAGCCTCCTGGGGGTATTCTAGGTGCTCCCTACTCACTTTTATTGTATGCATACTGTTCACAGAGACTTGCTAAAGGATTAAAAGGATTTTCTCTTTTGAAAAAGCTTGACTGATTTCACACTTATCTATAGTATGCTTTTTGTGGTGTCCTACTGAATCTAAGTATTTGTTTTGCCTGTTTAGCTTTTTTATCAATATGCCATGTTAATTTTTTTTAAATGTAATAGCCATTTGCATTGTTTTAGGAATTCAGAATTCTGCTGGCTTCATTACTGGGCTAAAGTACATATTTCCTCTTAAAATTGGTTAACCTCCATTATTATAAAAATTATAAAAATAAGTTTTAAATCAGTCAGAATGACCTTGCTTCCAATTTTATGCAGACTTGCAGACCATTAGCATACCTTGTAGATTATCTACTCAGTGCAAATATAGCTGCGTTTACCTCAGAGGGGCCAAATATGAATGCCCATACCGTCCATAAGGGTTGCTGGTTTTACTAGAAGACAGGTGGTTTGTGAATTGAAAATTGTTTTATGGAATTGCTACAAAGGTGTTCTTTTCTTCTCAATTGATGGAGGAATTTATGTTAAACTTTAAGGTAAGGGTATAAAAAGATTTTTGAGATATGTTTTTTTATTTATGTTTATTGTAGTCAAAGTAGAATGAGTTGCAGTGTGGGAAGAAACACAATGAAATTCCATTGCTTAAGTGCGTTTCTATTTATGTGAAAGTTGTGATCTCTCGGCTTTTCATGTTTTACCATGGGTAAAATGGACATACGTGGAATTATTACTGATGAGGGAAAGTTGTATGTTTGCATCATAAATACCAGAAAATCCTCCTCTGCTTCCTTCTTTTAACTTATTTTGTATGTTGTATGTATTAAAAGAACCTTTCAAACACTTAGAAATGTTTACTTACCTGGAAAATAATTACTATGCTATTACATTAAGAGTGTCCCTTCCCCTGCAAGGCTGTGACATGATTAACAAATGATTTTGTTAGTCTTGCAGATAATGTGCATTAACAATTTAAGATTTAGCCGTGGTAAGGGTAGTTCTTATTCTAAGATTACATCATATGTAATTTAAAAATACTTAAGACAAGTTTCCTGTGTATCTCGCAAATGTTTGGGTTTTGATTTTATCACAATAGATCTGCTTTTTCTTATAAAAGATATTTATCGTATGAAATAATGCAGATTAGCCAAATCCAGCCGTATAGCAGTTTTAGACACAGACCTGACCAAAAAATTCCCAGTAACCAAGCATGATTAAATTGTAGCATCTCATGATTATTAGTACCTTTTTCAGGAACTCATTAGGAAATTGTTAAAGTTGATCTGACAGTATTTTGTTAAGGATATTTGTATGTTCAGTATACTTATATAAAAATTATTTTGCCTTCATTCAAAACTAATCATGACAGCTTTTTGTTGTTCTGTAGTTTCTTTGTGGAGAAAATGGGAACAAATTTTAGCTTTTTTCTGAAGATGCCTAAAGCTACAGGGTTTTTTTGCCTAACCCAAGTTTTGTTACTCTAGGCTGTGAAATGGGAAGCAGAATGAAATATCTGCATGCAACTATGCTATTTACACATGGGCTGAAAATAGCTTGTTGTGTAATTATGCTCTAGACTTAAAGAGGAAGGTACAAGTATACATACTAGACAGCTGGAGATATAGCAGGAACTCTTTATGCCTATGATCTACTGGCTTCTTTTTTGTTGTTTTTTCTTCAGGAAGTGAGTGCATTCTTTGGTCCTCCATTTTTGGTTTCTCTAGAATATCAGTGCAATGCACTGCTACTGTTTTATTCCCTTGGCCATAGACTCCTTCTGACAGCTGTGTATTCTTTCAGTATACTAATTGCATTGACAGCATTGTGTCTTTGACCTTGCACATAAGCTTACAGTGCTGTCTCTGGTTTCTAGGCTAGATACTTGAGGTATGATTTTTCCATAGAATATGCACTGACACAACCTTGCCATTCTTCTATGGAAAGAAAACTTGGATGATGAAACAATAAAGATTTTAAATATCCATTTTAGTTTTGTGGGTGTTTTTGGAATGAAAGTATATGACACACTTTGGTTCCTGAAGTACATTAACCATTTTAATAATGTAATACAAAGCAAGTATGACACTGGTTATAATGTTAGACATTCAGCAGTACAAGTGAAACCATAGTGACAAATATTATAATGAAGCCGTTTAAAAGTAAAATTGAAACCATAGTAACAAATATTACAGTGGAGACCAGTGATTTTGAGCTATAGTAAAAGGGCTGATTTGAGGAAGAATTTTTATCCTTTTACAAAACAGTCATAGGAGTTTTATTCACATAAAAAGACTGCTGATATTCTAAAGGTCCTGTTCTTAAATTTTCAGAAATTTTTTGTGACTGCATATATTATTATATGTTCAAATATTTTTTGCCATTTGTCATTAGAGATTTTGCTTTTTACAAGGATTACAAACAAAATTCTGTGTGGTCTAATTTGAATAGAGGACAGTACTATTATCTAATATTAATTTTGTCTCAAATTGCCCTAATTATAATCTTATTATATACTTTTAAAAGTATCATAGGTTCTTAGTGTCTGCCCTAACATGATTGGTGGAATGTTGCCAAAATAATCCAGGTTTTTAAAGTAAATTCTAGACAAGATTCATAAGTTACAGGTAGCTTCAAATCAGAGCATCAAATTTAACAAACTATTGCTGTTAAGTAGTATGTATGTTGTAGACTCCAGGATACTTTATGATGCTTACAATTGGTGAGAAATTCAAATTCATATTTCTTTCATATGAACTTGTATTGTTCTTTCAATGAAGTCAGAAGCTTTTATTTTATTACAAGCTTCTTTTTATGGGACTCCCTAGAAAGAAAATATATCCAGAAGGTAAATATTTCAAATAAATGAAACTTAACCCATTAAGAATTAACTTTGGGCCAGGCACAATGGCACATACCTGTAATCCCAGTGGCTTGAAGGCTGAGGCAGGAGGATCATGAATTTAAAGCCAGCGTCAGCAACTTAGTGAGACCCTGTCTTAAAATCAAATATCAAAAGGGCTGGGGATGTGGCTTAGTAGTTAAGTGCACCTGGGTTCAGTCCCTGGTACAAAAAAAAAAAAAAAAACCCACCCTAATTTGGATTTATTTTAACATTGGACAAGACTATTAAAAAGATCATACACATGTGCCTTTTTATAATAAAAACTTTTTTCTTCCCTGGTAATTCAAGACTTAACATTGTAAATTGTTTTTTTCCCGTCTTTCTAAATTGCATTTTTCAGGAATTGTAGTTTATTTGCTGACTTTCCTTAACAACTGTTCTTAACACCGCTTAAATATATTTGCAGAATATTAGGAAGAGAACATTTCAGGGGGGAAAAATGAGGTAATCAAGCTCACTGAATCAATTTATAACATTTTTGTATACAGTGCAATATCAGTAGACTTAATTAGGATGTCTCCCACTTATACAAATGAAATGCTTTGTGACAGGTATATCTTTCTGCTGAAAAGGCTTTTTAAAAAATCTAGTTCTTATAAGTCTACCAGATAATCTGAAATAGGAAATGTTTATTGTGCTCTACAGCAACAGAAGCCTTATAATTAATTTTTCTACATATTAATACAGTAGTTATTTGGAGCTCAAGATACTACTAGTCCTTTATATCATTTGTGGGTCTTCCTATTTGTTTTTAATTATAAAATATCTAAGGAGGAAGTTTATAAGAAACTTTGTACTGTAAGTTTTGCTTCTAGTTTATTAAAGATTATTTGAAACCATCCTTGGGTTTAGAACTATATACCACAATCAAAACAATTAAGATATTAATTGCTAAGCTTGTAAATTCTGGTGGGATAGGGGATAGAGAAAATCTAAAAACTTTCCATTCAATGAGGAAGATCTCATGAATATACATTTCTTTTTGAATTATAATTCTGTTTTCTTGTTTATATTTAGAGTCAATACTAATGATGGAAAATCAGTATTTTTAAATTTTAGGAGTCAGTAAAATGGCTTGTACTATGAAAGAAAAACAGCTGTAGTTTATAACCATAGAAATCATTAAATAGAATGAAATATTAAATAAGCCTGAGTATTTCCATATCTGTATATAAGAGCATGGCTACTTAGTAATTAAGTTATCTCGATATATTATGTATCTGGAATTTAATATCAAGTGTTTTTTCCTCAACAGATCAATTTATTGCATGTAAAAATATAACAGTGACATAAAAATAAGTAAATTTGTGCAGATTTGTGAAACTCACTCAAAATAAGACAGATAATTTCCTGAAAGCTAAGTTTACTTAGTATCAAGTATTTGGGGATTGTTTTTAAAAATGTTGACAAACAGCTTTCTAGAATTAAACTAAGAGAGTTGGATTTATTTTTGTTCTGGTCTAAATCATCAACTTCCAAAACATAAGAAAGAAGCAGCTCTAAAACATAGGTGTGAGTACAACAGTAAAGACAAGGGCATTAGTCTCCTGAGTTAAAAAAAAAATTGGTCTTGAGCCATATTTCATACTAGAAGTGAAATATGTCATTTGCCAGCAATAATTTTCAAGTCCAGTGCTTTAAACAGTGATTTCAAAATATAGTATTTGAAAACCCTTCAAGACACTGAAAAATGTCCAATCAGAAATTATTTGGTGTTCTTATCTGTGTGTTTTACCTTGGCTCAGTCACCCAGGATTGTTTTTACTGAAATTCCACATTTGGTTCAAGCTTTTCCCCTAGAAAACTTGATTGTCCCCAGTGCTACTACATGTACTACATGGTAGCATTTTAAGCAAGATTGGGAGTAGAAAAAATTGGAGTGTGTGGTCTCTTTCTGAAATTTAGTAAGTTAAGACAAACACATAAAGTCATATAAAAGGAAGTCAGTTCCTGTCTGTGCCAGGAGAGGTGTGAAGGTTCACTGAAGGAAAAGGTTTGGGAAACAAGTCAGGGTAGTTTCCTGTGCTGGTATTCAGGACCATGGATATGTGAGCATTTCCCTGGAGAAGCATTCTGCTGTATGCAGCTGCTTGGGTTTCAGAAGTCATTTGGGGCAGCAGCAGTGGTAGCGTAGCTTCCCATTTCTGACATGCCAGTATCAATACCAGATGTCATGGAGATGAGCATTAATGAGATCAACCTCTTTTAAACAAATGACCAAGCAGATTTGTGTGGGAGAAAGAGGAGTCAAGGATGACTACCCGGTTTCTGATTGTCCATTTCAGGATAGGTGTCAAGAAGTAATAAGGGAGCGTTGGAAAATAATCTGGTTATGAGTTACATGTTCAAACTACAGGTTCATCATATCCTTTTATTGCCTAGAAATGTCATAATTTGCCTTGTTTCAGACCTTAGTCAAAGAAAGCAATACTATAAGATTTGTGACAACTTGAACCTTATAATTATTTTATGAATTCCATGAAGGTTGACATAGTAACACACTGTAGCATAGTGGTTACAGTGTAGGCTCTTGAGTCAGATGGTCTAGACTTCTAGCTCCTTCTTATACAAGCGGTATGACTGCTATATTGGAACGTGAAATGTACCCCAAAGGCCCATGTGCTAAAGGCTTGGTTTTAGGCCGTGACACTATTGGAAGATGAGAGAAACTAAAAGTTGGGATCTAATGGTTGGAAGTTAGATCACTGGGGTTGTGCCCTTAGGGGAAATTGGACCATAGTCCCTATCTTATTTTGCTTCCTGGCCACCATGAGGTGAGCAGCACTTCCTACCACATGCTTCTTTAATGATGTACTATGCCGCCACAGGTCCAAAGCAACAGGATCAAGTGGCCACGGGCTGGAAGCTCTGAAATCACATGTCAAAAGTAAAACTTTCCTCCTTTTAAGTCGATTATCTTGGGTATTTTGTTACAGTAATGGAACCCTAACACAGTGATCTTAGCCAAGTTATTTAACCTCTTTGTGTCTCATTTCCTCATCCATAAAATGAGGAAAAGTTTAGTGCCTACTTTATAAGGTGTGAGGTTTAAAGGCAACATGCAGAGGACAATGCCTCACAGAGATAATGATAGTTAAATATTAGCTATTATGGACTGGGAGTACAGCTCAGTGGTAGAGCACTTCCCTGGGATGTACAAGACCCTGGGTTTAATCCCCACCATTGCAAAAATAACATTTAGCTATTACATCACTGTTTCTTAGCAATTCTGTCCAGTTAAGCAGTAGTTTCCTATTATACAAATAGACAAGTCTCTTTTTAAAATGCATTGTTATGGTTTGGATGTGATGTGTCCTCCAAAAACTCATGTGAGACAATACAAGAAGGTTCAGAGGAGAAATAATTGGTTTGTAAGCATCTTTACCCAATCAGTAAATTCATCCCCTGATAGGGATTTAATTGGTAACTGAAGTGATAAAACTGAAGGGTGTGGCTGGAGGAGGTGGGAATTGGGGGCATGGCTTTGGGGTATATATGTAACTGGCGAGTGGAGTCTCTCTTTCTGATCATCATGTGATCTGCTTCCCTCTGCCATGCTCTTCTGCCATGATCAGCCTCACCAGTAGCCCCTAGGGAATAGAGCTGGCTGTATATGGACTGAGACCTCTGAAACCATGAGCCCCTAAATAAACTTCCTCCCCTAAACTTGTTCTGGTCAGATTGTTTAGTCACAGCAGTGAAAAAGCTGACTAAACATACATCTTAATGAAGTAGTCTTCATAGTACATCATGCAAATTGAGGGCCATTCTGAGCCACAGAGTATCTCTTGGGACTGCTGTTGCCACCTTGTTCCCAGTCATTGTGTGCGATCTTCCCTATCCAGAATTCTGCACCAAACCTTGGAATGATAGACTGTTCTACTGTTGTTGTTTTGTTTTTAAGAAAGGAAATGTGATTTCAAGTTAAAATAAGAAGGGGAAGTATTGGAAGATCTGGAATTAAGAAATCCCTGAGAAAATGAAAACATAAGGGACCAAATTGAAGTGAGAATTTGCATCCTGGAAAGCCTGTGGCAAGCAAGGGAGAATGCTACCATGGAAGGTGGCAGGGCCCCCGAG